TTTTTATTTAAGTACGTGAAATTACATGAACCTATGATTTTTCAAATTCAATTGTAAAGATATTATGAATCACCAGTAATATAATGTATTTTAATTTTTCCCCTTTATAAGCTTTTTATGAGATCTTTAATTTTTTAGTAATATCCTAAAAGATCTATAGTTTATTAAAAAATATGGAGCATGGACACAAAATCCAGTTCAGGTGAATATATGAAGCGTAATATAGAAGGGATTGTGTGTAGCAGGAAAACGTTGCCTGTTGGGTTGTTGTAAGAATAAATTAAAATCATTTTGTTACCAAAAAGAAATTACATATCACAAAATTTAGACTATGCCAAATACCTATAATTTTTTTCTGAAAAAGATTATGTATAATTTTGAATTTTTTTATATTATAAGAAATACAATAGAAACAATTATTTTTATAGGTTCTAAAATATGAACTATTATACTACTACGCCCTGCGCCCACAGCATATTTAAATTTAATTCTGTTTCTATAAAAAAAAAAAAAGAGGCAAATTAGGGGAACAAATGAAGTTATGGAATCTAAACTATCAAAATCTGATTTTATAAGACTAACAACGGAAAATTTAGGTCAATATATGACATTTATTTACACAGATATTGTTGTAAGTAATTGATGATAAATTTATTGTCAAATTTATAATCTTAACTCGAATTGACAAATATTTTGCAATACGTTCTGCGTCATACAGTCTCCAATTTTGTGGAAAAAAAATATTTTAAGATATTGAATGCATTTGAAAAAAATGCTTTAAGGCATTGGATGCACCACAAAATACTTTAACGTGTTAGATACATTTTAGAAAATACTTAAGGTGATAGATGCATCTTGACCCTATTTAAAAAAGACCATATTATAAACTTCCTTTTAGGTGAAAAATCGTTAGAAACTTAACTAACCTGTATAAGGCTTTTACCTTCAATAACAAAATAAAAAGAATATAATAAAACTACCTTCATAGGCTGATAGGATCACAAGGGCGACGATGAAAGCCAATTTGAAAGAAATCTTCTCCAGTGATGTTTCTTATTTGTTAGGTTAGAAGTCGCAAGTTTAAGAAATTGTGTTGATTGTGTTTGAATATAACGATGAATCTGTTCGTCTTCTACAGATTTATAGTGGGATGATTCTGAAAGTATAAGGGAAACCCCTTCACCAGATCTAATCCCCATTGGTCATGCTATTTATTTTTCAAGATAAGAGTATTTCCTACGATAATAGATATTAGGGTTAATTAATCTGCAAATTCTTATAGTTTCAACCAATTTTGAATCAGGTCCTTATAATTTTTTTTTTTTTATCAAGTCCTTATATTTTTACAAGTTTTTAATTAGGTTCTTGTATTTATTTTTCTTTTTATCAAGTCCTTATAATTTTACTAAATTTTTAATCAGATCCATAGAGTTTTAATTTTTATTTATTAATTAAATATAAACTTAATTAAATAGATTAATACTGAAATATTAAATATTGATAATGAAATTAAATTAAAAGTATATAATAAAAAATAAGTAATATAATTAATTAATTCAGGAAATTTTTTTAGCACAATTAATATTTTGTTGCTGGCAAAAAATAAAATTATTATAATAATTCATTATTTTTAGAATATTATAGTTTATAAACTAATATTAGATAATATATAATATTTTATGTTAATAGAATAGTATTATTATAATTTATAAAATAAAGAATAAAAAGTTCAAGGATTTAATTAAAAATAAGATGAACTTATAGGGACTTGATAAAAAGAAAAATAAATACAAGGACCTAATTAAAAACAGGTGAAAGTATAATGATCTGATAAAAAAAAATATAAGGACCTAATTCAAAATTGGTTGAAACTATAAGGATTTACAAATTAATTATCCCTTTTTATTATATACTTGTTAATTTAGCTTCATTATCAATATTTTATATTTCAGTATTAATCTATTTAATTAAATTTATATTCAATTAATAAATAAAAATTAAAACTATATGGACCTGTTAAGAATTTAGTGAAATTATAAAGACTTGATAAAAAAATAAATACAAGGACCTAATTAAAAACTGGTGAAAGTATAAGGACTTGATAAAAAGAAAAAAAATTATAGGGACCTAATTCAAAATTGATTGAAACTATAAGAACTTGCAGATTAATTAACCCTAGATATTAACTTCTATCTTGAAATACAATGAGAGAGGATAGTGCAGATTTGTTGCATAAATTAATATGGGTTGAGAATTGAACTTTGAACACATTTACTTAGATGATGAGAGCCCTTATTCATGTTAAATTGAATTAATGATTTTATAATTTTTTTTCCAGCATTTTATAATTTTTTAATAGCATGTATATAAAACAATATGGTAGTAGTTTAATACTACCTCCGGTCCTTAATATAAAACCCTGTTTGACTTTTATTTTGGTTCTAAATATAATATCCCAATCCACTTTGTCTCTTATATTTATACATTTCTTTTCAAAGTAGCTCTTCTAATAATAAGAGTTATAGTCACTACACTTGATTAGCAAGAATATTTTAGGAAAGATAACATCTATTGAGGACAAATAACTAACTCAACTTACTTCCTTAATCTCCTAAAATTAGTCAATTGACTCTTATAATTAGAATCGGAGGTAGTATATAGACTAATAAAACAGTGATTTGTTGCATGGTACGGTAATTTTGTTATCGTATGTTTTGTGGATATTTTCATGATCTCCTAATATTCAAAGAACCTAATCATTACTTTCATGTATATTTCAATCCGAAGTTCTCTCTTATTCATGAATCAAGTCATTAAATACAGAAATATTCACATTATTCACATTATCAAAATCAAATACATAAAGATTCATTGACTTTGGAAAATGTGCATATAATGCTAGCAATTATCACTCGAATCCTTATTACAAGTCATTTGTAACTTATTTTTACATATTAAGGAATTTATTGAATTGATAAAATTTTTCAGTTGGCAAAAAAAGAAAAACATAAAATTTTTTAGATTTATCCTTATTAAATGTTGCCTCCCTCAATATTTACAAATCATTACCATCTCTCTCTTCTTGTTTTCTCTTTCCAATAATAATTAAATAAAATTAAAATTAGAAAATACTACCTCCGTTCCTTATTATAGGAGCTTGTTTGATTTTTCAGTTGGTCTTAAATATAAGATCCAATCTACTTTGTCTTTCATATTTATTTATTTTTTTCAAAGTAATCCTGGAAGTTGAAGTAGTTATACATATGAAATGTTTCATAAAATAGTAACTCTAGTTAATATACATGATCAGCAAGGATGTTTTAGAAAAAATAAAACATATTTATAACATATAACTAACTTAACCAATTTTTTTAATCTCTCCAAACTAGTCAACCGGGTCTTATAATAAGGACCGGAAGTAATATTTATTAATAATATTCTATAAGTGACTTATATTTAGCACAAATTTTTTTTTTCCACAAGTGATTTATAATAGGACTGGAGTAGTATCTATTTCAGCAACAGAGAAGGCCTTCCTCAAAATTGGTATCAGCAATCATCATGTTCGCTAATACTACTCTTTTTTTGACTTCACCTCTATCTTTTTCTTTGGGGTGTTTAGCAATCATCATGTTCGCTAATACTACTCTTTTTTTGACTTCACCTCTATCTTTTTCTTTGGGGTGTTTGTCCTCTGCAAAACGAGACAAAATTCTCTATTTTTGTATATCATAAAAATACTTTTAACATTATGGTTTGTTTTTAATCCAAGCACCCATATTCCTGCTTTCCTTTGTCTCTTTCAATTATTATGATCTTCTTTTGATGGAATTAATTACGATGATCTTTTGAAGGTAATTAATCTAAACACACCCCTCGCATAATACATGGTATGTTCTCATAATTACTTTTTCCCATCCTAAATATTAGATATATTTAAAAAAATTGTTTAGTCTTAAATATAAAATTTGAATTCATTTTATTCCGCATATAAATTTTGTCTAATTACCTCTTTCAAATGATTGTATGTATTAAAAGGATTTTTAATAACAGAAAAGTTTCTTGTTTCAGTAATAACAGAAAAGTTTTTAATGTGGTAAATAATAAAAATGGTGGTTTAAGAAATCAACACATTTTTTTAAATAAATAACTAACTTAATTATTTTTAATATTTACAAATTATTTGTATAATTTATATATTCATTCTATCCTAAATGTAAGGCTCATTTTATAATGTAATTTATAAAATAAAAATGAGTCTTACATATAGAACTTGAGAGAATATTTATTAACCAGGGTTAATTTTCATAAAAATCAAATATATGTAATATATATGTGTGTGCAGTGAAATCCATATCAAGTGTGGATGAATTTTGATAGTTATACACATCCCTGCTCATCCCAACCAGCACCTTAAATGAACCATCTTGCTCTAAAAATTGCCTTAATGGAAAGTGCACTTATTTCTGTTAGTTGATACTCTCTTTGTTTTTCATTATAAAATTTAAATTTTTTAAATTGGTGCATCTTTTTTCATAAGATTTATTTTAGGTTTGTTTGAACATTAAACGCATTTTTATCCTTTTGACCCTTAATGTATTTTCTCTTATTTGCTTTCTCCCATACATTCTCTCTAATCTTTTTTTCTCCCTCTTACCTATACGTACTTATAAACGGAGTATTACTTTCTCTCTAATCTTTTTTTCTCCCCCTTACCTATACGTACTTATAAATGGAGTATTACTTTTAACTAATTTTAATATTTTGTTTAGACTGCCTAATTCTGTCATTTGAATCTTATCATAAAGGGACAAAAGGAGTATTAATTAGCCAAAACTATTTAATTAGCTTATATTTTTTGCAGTTGGCAAAAAAAAAAGCTTATTTTTTTGTGTAGCCCGTTGGTTTTGTCAATAATTGTCTATTCTAGTGGTGATAATCAATGAATTAAAAACTGAATTAGACCAGACAGGTTTGGTAATAATCAATGAATTAAAAACCAGATCAGACCGGATGGTAATACCAGTCCGGCCAGTGACCAGAGCCCTCTCTGATTTGATTCGCATCGTTCCCCCGTGCTCCAGCAGTTGAGCCGTTTTGAGCCGCTTTAAGCTAGGATTTGAATTGGAAACCGGTGTTAAGCTGGAACTGGAATGGTTTTCATAAAAATGGACGGCCTACATCCGACTTGAGACCAAACAATCCGAAGAAGAGGAATAAGAAAGGAGATGAGAGGAAATAAAAGAAGATACAGCATGATTGGGAGGAAAAAACAATCTCAAAACACTAAAATCCTCTAATGTTGCAAGCAGCAATGGCCATGAACGAGAAAAATGAAAGCTGCAACAGCATGTTGAGATCTGACGGGGAGATGGTCGCCTGAATGTTTGATGGGTTGAAACTGTTGAGAGCGAAAAATCGCTTTGAGTACTGGAAAGCAGTAAAAGTAAATAACATTCATTTATGTCTGCCACCATCCCCCGCGTCTATCAAGGGGTGAACTTTTTTTTTTTCAAATATGATATTTTCTTTTGGGTGGGAGATTTTCAATTATGCATTTTTTTCTTATTTTTTTTTTATGTTTCTAATTTTTATTTTTATTTAAAATTTATCTGCATATTTTGATATTTTATTTTTATGTAAAATGTTTATATAAGGTAAGTTTTTTCTTAACTTTGTTAAGAATTTGACAGTATATTTTTTATACCTGTATTATCATATATATATACACATATGTAATATTAATTTTATTTAATTATTATGTTACCAGTCAGAACGGTTGAATCATAACGTGTTGCTCTCTCCAATCTAATATCCAGTCCAACTTTTAAAACATTGGTGATAATGGTATCAAAAATCAAAATGACCTAATTTTCTTCTCTCTTATATGAATTCGAATTCTAAACTCATATCTAATAAAATTAAAATTAATTAACAGCATTAAGAATAAAGTATTAAAACTATAATTTTTTAAACTTGATGTAAATTTAGATTACTAATATTTAATTTAGTCAGTTAATTAAATAGTTTTTATATTGAAAATGAAAGGAATTGAAAAAAAAAATTAACATAATTAAGCCTATTCATTGTCTGGAATGAAAATCCATGAATTAGAGTTAGAAATTAAATCTAGAGCTATCAATAAAGGTTGGTTCGGCCTAAAGGGTTAGTCCTTAAAGGGCCAAGGCCTAAAAAAACCAGCCCTTTAAAACCTGCAAACCTTAAAATTATTATATTATTAAAAATTGGCCTTCAGACATGCGGGCTTAGTGCTTAAAAGGGCTGGTCTTTTTATGTTATTTTTTAAAATTTAAATTTTTTGCAATTATTTCAAATGAAAAATAAGACAATAAATCTTCTAAAATTTTTTATTCAAATTATAGATATTGGTAAAATAAACTAATGGTGTATAAAAAAATATCAAGCACCAATAAACTATTGTCCAGACTCAAAAATAAAATCAAATAAAACAAGAAAAACAAAAATATAAAAACCAAGTGGCTAAAGAATAACAAAATCAACATGATTATTATCTTTGGGATTGGGTACGATCTAAACATCTTCTCATTAGGGATCCTTGGTTATTAATAGGAGATTTTAATCAAATTTTATATGACTGATAAAAAGAGTAGAAATAGGGACCTCAAAGGTGCTAATAATTTCCAAGACCTACTCTTTGAAACTCAATTAATTGAAATTCCAATGAGAGGTCCTTCTTTTACTTGGTTTAATAACCGTTTACTTGGTTTAATAACCGTTCAGGACATGAGGTAGTCTGGGAAAAGCTGGATAGAGGTTTTTGTAATCACTTGTGGTTCCAACATTATCCTTATTCCAATATCCAAGTTTTACCAATTATTGCTTCAGATCATTCACCTCTGGTTTTTGACACGCTTTTGGATGGTCAATGTGGAAAACGACCTTTGCGATTTGAAAATTTTTGGCTTCAATTTTCTGAGTGTGGAAACATTGTAAAAAAGGTTTGGAATTCTATTGTTTCCCCACATGAACCTTTGCAATTGATTTTTGTCATGCTCCCAAAAGAAGTGAGCCCAGGAAATGACCCAAAAGGTGGCCCAAATCTCATATGCAAGCACAACCAAAGGAGGAGAAAACGTGGTTACTATGGGATTTGGAGGGTCAGGCCGAGTACAATAAGGACAAAGTCTATTATGGAGGGGGTGGAAATGATTATGGTCTCTCTCTCTTCCCCTTGAAGATTCTTTCCCTACTAACTTTTTGCTTCCTTCTTTCTGCTCCTTTTTGCAACTCTTTAATTCATTGATATTTGCATATTCCATTGTATTGAGTGCATAATTTCTATATATGTGACTGAACTTAATCCATTGAACCATATATTTTATCATTTTCGTCATTCATATTTGTATTTTCAGTCTTGACCATTACAAATGGTGCTCTCGTTGAGAGTAACCCCTTTCATGATGGTTGACGATAAAGCCGAACTGGATGAGTGTGAAGCAGGGATCATGCAGTTTGCTACTAAGATAGAACACTCTGCTTCTAATATGATTACAAGAATGGATCGTATTATTTTGAAACTAGAATTGCTGAATTCTAAATTCAACAGTAACATCGAATCTGATGAGGATAATTCTATTGTTTAGAATGAGGCTACCAATGTTGCGATGAAGGATTTATCTCGCTTGGACCGAATTGAAGTGATGTTGAAACGTAAGGGATTAATCAGTGATCCCCCACCCTCTCAGAGTTCAAGCCCTATAGTGCACTCGCTGTCAACTTATGAATCTTTTTCGCTACCAGAAATGAAGTCGTCACAGAGTCATCCCTCCCAAGAATTTGATATTCATCGATCTTCCTTATGTCATGATAAGGTTGAAGTTCTATGGTCAATAGACTGTCAAACTATTCGGGGACAGAGTGATGGGATAGATGATCACGAGGTGGATACCAATGATCCTACCATTATTGACTCTATGGAGCAACCTGAACATCATCGTGATACATCCCGTCTGGACCGAATTGAGGCTCTAATTGCAGCAAGGAATCAATATGAATCTTCTCGTCTTGATCGGATTGAATCTACCATTGCTCCAATGATGCAACGTATGGGATTAGTTTATATGCCTCACCTTTCTCAATGTCCAAGCTCTATAGTTCCCCTACAACTAACACATGACTCCTTTTCATAGTTAGACATCAAGTTTCTGCACGAACAGAGTGATGATAAGATAGACGAACCCATCATTGAAGAAGCTTCACTGACATCATCACGGCCTCGTCTATCATCGACATCTGCAGAGAAGGAACTGGTCTGTACTCAATCCAATATTAATGCGACACCATCCGAAAAGATCCTGATTGATAAGCTAGAGAGAGGAGCCTCCATGAACAGAGTCTATCAGGTCTAAACGGTGAACCACTTTAATGACTAGGGCCAAGTAACTTTAGCCAAGTCCCGGTCTCTTGAATCCGTCTTCTTCAGCTACCCTAGTAGTGTGATAGCTTCCTCAACCTGGAAACAGTTGGTAGACAAGAGAACAATCCATTTATGGAGGTCGCTCTTTCAGTTGCCATTTTCACTAACGACTTTTCACATGCCGCTTTGATCAATGGCTTGGAACTCATGTGGGTTTACGATCCTGGTATATGTTATTATGCGTCAATGGGGGGTTATCAACTGGTTACTTCGTGGCTCCCTTTTTGTTTCAGTTTTGGCACATATTTTTCAGTTACAGATGATTCTCTCATCCATTTGCTTTATTGCTCCGCACCTCAAACCTCTTTAGCGAAGACACGGCTAGCAAGTAGAATAGCAAATGGATTATATGACATGCTTTTGCCTAATTTGCTAATGATCTTCCCTTCCATTCTTTTTGAGGTTCTAGTCATCGTTGATTTATATTCATCTTTGATTTTTGTTGAGTGCGTTGTGCAGAGAGTTATTGATGTTTTGCCTATTACATTGAATCTTCATTCGAGAGATGCTAGACAAATGAGCTATTTGGCTTATCTTGATGAGGCTTTTCGATTGATTATTCTGCCACTTGTTTCAAAAGTACTTTTGGGTAACCTTCAACTAGTGCCACTTGGATCATTTAGGGAACCTCAGCCTGTACTGCAGCAAGTAGATGTTGCTGTTGCACATCATACTAACTTAGTGGGGGAAGGTAGTCTTGAGAATTTCAAGTCAATTGTTCAAAAGGTTAAACAGCCTGCTTCTATGTTATGCACAATAATAGACCCATTTTACATAATTAACGTGAGAACCTTTAATCTAAAATACCTTGGGGGGTTCTACATAAAGCTCCTATATTAGGTGTTTCTGCTATTGGTTATGCAGATTCTTGTGAGAAGCAAGTTGAAAAGATGGGAGCTATTTATGTTGATCAAGTCGATTTTAGTGATCACCATGTATTTGATGCAGAAGATATTGAGAGGATCAGAACCAGACTTGGAGAACTAGATATCAAATTGGGTTTGAAGCCAATTCTAATAGAATACCTCAAGCTATTAAATCAATTATTTATGTTGATCAAGCCAATTTTAGTGACAAAGAAGGATCGTGATAGGGATGCAGGGATCCTCAAGCTATTAAATCAAGTTTTTCTTCTCTGTTTAAAATTGGAGGTGGGGCCCTATTGCAACAACTTAGAGGAAAGCTTAAAAAGGTTTCTGAGGGATCATTTGCAGATAAAATTTACTACTTCAAACCAACTAGCTTACCTTATCTTATACATTTCCTCATTGGGATATGCTTTGACATTGGCATTTGTCTTTTGGTATGTGCTTTTGTTACCACCAGGATACTTTGAAGACCATAGTGGTGACCATGCTTCTGACTTAATTGAAGGTTATAAATTGGCAACAAATCTTGATAAGACTCTATCTCACCAAAATACATGTGGCATTATTGCAATTCAAGCCACAGTATCCAATGGGATTTAGTTCAGTTTATTAATGACTGCTACTGTGCCTTTTAGCTTTGTCCATGGTGCTGCTCACCCCCGCATTTTGATTAGTTGGTATCTTTATTTGGTTTTCCATAAAGCACAAGGAGTATTGGAATTTGTGCTGCACGAGAATT